TCTTTCTTCTTTATACACCACGCATAAATCTCTTTGCTTTCGCTCACTACTCTCTCTTCTAACTGACTTGATACCAAGAGAGTCAATGTAGCTGGTAGTTGATTGAACTCCATTGTTGACATCATCAAATTCAACATTTTAGCTTGACATTTTATATCTTCATTTCCCTCTAAATTCCATCAATTAAATAAGGTAATAATTAATTTACTCCCCTCCCCCCCTTTTTTTTTTGTTCTGCAATGGCTCCTATATTAAGCGTAAGAAATGAAGACAATTTCCTTGTCCAGCAGCATCATCCTTTACTCCTTTAGGGAAAACGAAAATACATTTAGGGGCCCGTTAATTGCTTAACATAAAGTGATATCACAGACCATTCTCTAGGAATATTTGGAAACACAACTCTTTGGGGAAAAAGAAAAATTCCACTTTCTGGAATCAGTTCGATTTGTTTACACCATTCTGCCACAAAGACTTTGTCACATCGCTGCCCTCGATAGAAATTCCTGTTGAAGGCGATGTAAACAGATTGGAATTGGCCCATGGTCTCACAAAGGATAAACCATATATGGGAATAAATTCTTAATCATTATTCATTGTCGAGAATGCAGATTTACCCTTTCACACCCACTTCATCTTCACTTTATAAATTTGTCATTATAAAGTGGCAAATGTTAATTTTTCAACACCCTTCGTAATGTGATAATCATTATCTAATCAACTGTTATATTAGTGCATACCATAGTGAAGATCAATTAATCCAGCTTTACGATTATGTTTGTGCTCTGAGTATTATATGAGAAGCATGAAAAGAATTTCTCTTTTTTTTATTATTGTTCTTTATATAATAGTTAAGTTTGGAATTCGATTTTGAAACTTTCCTCAAAAATAAAAAGATTTGCATGCTACTTAATTATAGCAATTATTTTTGTTACGCAAACATAGATTAATCATATGTATAGAGTAGAATTATCAATGAATTGAGTTGAATTTGGTTGATCTTTTTAAAATTTTTGTCAAGACTGTATATTATAAATATAAAGAGATTAATTTTCACCTAGTAATCATCTTCCTTACATATTTATTCATTAAAATAACTAAACCTAGTGTCTTCTATTCTTACCTTTGCATATTTGTTCTCTTCTTTTATGAAATCAAAGACATTTGGTGCTATATGAAAATTTTAAATCATTAATCCACTTTCATATAAATTTTGATAAGTACAGTGTAATCGGATCCACACATTATCAAGGCTAATATCATAGTGCCACTCCAACCATCTTATCGTTCTTTTCAACAAAAAAAGAAAAAAAAAAAAAGCATTCTGTCATTCTAATACAAGTCACCCTCAATCGTACACTAACAAAAACCAAATGCCAACACTGTTCATTTAAAAAATGAAAATCGTAGAGTTAACTCTGGTAACTTTTTTCTTTTTTTTATCATATATTATTAATTACATTTTTTTGTTTAATAGTCAAGTGTTTAATTCGGTAGTTAATTCTTTTTAGAATCTTAAGATTTGAACTTTTTTTTTTTATCTAAATCAAAACATAAATATATAAAAATAAAACTTCCTTTCGTTTAAAGAGATAATAATTGCAAATTAAGAAGCATTTGGAGAAACCGAGTGATGTTCAGTATGCCATCCATCTTATGAGATACTAATTTGTCAATGTTTTGGTCAATATGATTGAGGCAAATACTTGTGTGCCAATGCTCAATATAGCTAGCATCATTGTTTTTATGCTACTGAAGAAAGAGAAACATATTAGATAATTCCTGTCTTTACAATGGGTGCTAAGGTCATCTGATGTGGATAAGCTTGGTTTTTTTATACTGTTCTAAAGCACCATCCTCTCTAATTATTGGTTATCTAAGGTGCTTAGGTCATGGATTCAATTCCCAAATGAAGGTAGAGTTGAAAGTAGAGAAAATCTTATGCAACAAAATCTTGTCAAACTGCAAAGAGAAAGAACGAAGAGAGTACAGATTGCATTGCTCTCCCTCTCACATTTCTTCCCATCAAAGTTTTAAGTGAAGGTGCAAAAGTGAAGGATGAGTTATCGGAAGGCAAAAATCATTGTTTAAAAGGAAAAATAGAGAGAGAGAAGCTAGTTTTCAAGCAACCCAACTGCTAAAAAGGAATAAAGGAAAGAAAGAAAATAAAAAGGGTAAAGATTGTTGCTTTAATCTATTCCTTTGATCATTTGTGGAAATTCCATACAACTTGAGTCATATTGTTACTTTTATATATACAGAGAGAGTACTATACATGCTAAATGCTACTAGTTGGTTAATAGAAAACTATTTCAATTCAATTCACAGCTGTCAACAAAAAGATGGGTATAAAGAAATAATTATCCTTCTTGAAAAATTTGGATTCCATGGCATCACTTTGCCTTTATTTGTATTGATTAATAGTTAAATTACTCAAATAAAATTTCAAAATGACTGTAAATTACATCATGGAAGAGACTAGAAATTATTTTTTAGTAATTCAATCAATAAATTGTAAAAGCACATTGCTAAAACCAGCATATGATTTGTCTTTTTTTTTTATGTACTAAAGCATTTGAATTTACATTTTTCCCCTCTGCATGTCACAAATAACAATAGAAAATTTTGTGCACAAGAAATGTTAACCATTGTATCCCTTACCTCCCCTCCTATTTAATTTGTCTAATTCTAACCAACATGGAATTTACACTCCCGTTACTGCAAGGGAATGTCCAAATTGGTCCCACCCACATACATATCCAGCACCTGTCTGAAGCCCGAGGAGTAACCAAAAATGAATTCTACCAGGTTGTCTGACTGCTCCGAATTCTGTCACGCCTGCCCCTTTAGCATGCCCCCTACCCTCTAACTGAAAACGCGTGTCGTGTGAGTCCATGCAGCACGGTTTTCTTATGTGCAGCAGTATTAAAGCGGCCTCAAGTGACTTTCATAACCGCTTTTCTTCGTAAATTGAAAATTTGCTTCCAAACTGATCATTCTCCTCACAACATTTTAACTTTTTCCTTTTTCTCCATAATATCCTTCCGTATGTGCGCAATTTACAAAGATGGGTTGTAGGCTTACGCGACTTACACGCCCTTACCCTTTTTGTTCACGGAAGAGATAACTGGGTTATGCACGGTATGAATGTCTTAGATACAATGGATATACCATTATGACATTATGTTTTCTATTCTCCAAGCTCCAAAACCGTATAAGTATTCTTTCATTAATTCAATTATTATTTTAATTTATAATTAATTTCTTTATACTTGAGGGTTAAGTAAATAATAATTTTTAAAAAATTAATTGTTAATAGAAGAATTTGAGGAGCTTAATACTAAATAATTTGGAACCTCATTAGATGAACTTAATCCTCTATATTTAAAAGTCTACCCATAGATTTTCATTTTAACGAAAATTCATAAATTTTAGTGCTTTTTTACTACAAATATTGAGACATGTTTTCATTAAAACAAATATATATATATATATATGCCAAGATTTAAATAGAAATGGCAATGGCTTATAAATAGATATCCAACAATACCTGACTTGCTTATGTAGAGTACTATAATTCTATTAAAAATAATTCGGACAGCAGCCTTAAATTATTCATCATTCAAAATTTTTTAATATATTTTTAATTTTTATATTACATTTCAGTTTGTAAATTATTTATTAAAATCATGAAAATATATAAATATAAATTTTACATTGAATTTATTGATTTAATTTTGGTTAATAATGTATGGAAAATGATTTAATCTTACTTTTCACTGTTGAGCTCAAGTCTGAGTTGGGTTTTTGTAGACTATCCCCATGTCACTTGTAACTAAATAATCAATTTCGAGTTATAATAAGTATGCCTAATCAAATCCAAGTGCAGGCATAGGTGTATTACATTCTTATATTACAGACCATGTTCTTTGAACCCCAGGCATCGTGTTGAACTTGGATATGGTATATTTTTTGACAATTTTTTACCCTTATTTTGAGGATCAATAATGGAAGACTACAACTACTAACAAATTTATTTAATTTCCATTCTAATGGAAAAATTATATCAAGTGAATATTTGGAAGAGATCCTTTGATGAGCCTTGAATTCATATTTTGCTAATTTCCTAGTTTTATGTTTCTTGACTAGTTTAATTACCTTTAAAGGTGGTGGTCTATCATAAGAATGACAAATTTTTTTAATTTTTTCATATTTATTTTATTAATTCAACATTTTGTGCATAAAAAAAAAACAAAAGTCTCCTCTTCACTAAGAAAACATTGATCAACAAAGGTTCAAATTCTATCTTTTTCGATTTTTTATCTACATGTCCATTTTTTTCCATTCTTGGAAGAAACTTTAGAGTTTCATTAGATAATGTTATGATTTCAATTACTTTTGGAAATTCATTCAAATCAATTTTTTTATTTTTTAATACTTCTTATCATTAAAAAATTCATTTAAACAAATAATTATTGTTATTATTATGTTAAGCATGTGTTAAAAATAATTCAGACAATAAAATAGAAATAAAGGGAAAAAACTTAATTTTTTTTAAAGCAATTTGATGCACTTTAAATATCATATTCAGTTTATATGTAACGCTAACAATATTCGGAGAAGAAGCAGGAAAGTTTGAAATATACACAAAGGCTTGAATAGTTTGTACTGTCTGTACTTAAGTGGACCGACGTTATTTCAATACCAAGGCTATTTTAGTTTTTTCATTTTTCTACCTTTAACTATTTTTAGGCAAGAAAGCGGAAGGGATGCAAAAAAGGTAAGAAGGGTATTGGTAAAAACTTACAAAGCTGATGCGAATTTTTGTTTTACTGTTTTAAAGCGGCCTGACGGGTGCCCCTAGCAAAATTATTTTTGTTTCCCCATTCCGAATGGCATTTTCGTGATTCCGTTGAATCTCTGTCACCGTAGTTCTCTGTCCTCTCTAAGGGTTTTTCCGTAACTTCAGTCAACATATTTTAATCCAAGAAATTTCCGAACCCTATCCAGTTTAGCTCCCTTTCGTCCATTCTGTTAATTTAATAATGAAAAAGAGAAAAAAAGACTCAGCCTCGCTCGTTTCTTTCTTCCCACCTGAACATTCGTTTCCCTGTTTCTTCTCTGCGACACTTGCTAAATTTCCAAATTTACCCTCCAAGTTCTCTCAAAACCCCATCCTCTCCCTCCGTTTTTGTCTTCTCAGATTCCATCGCCAGTCAAAGATCCTCTTCACTTTGATCAACAACCAAGACAACAACAATTTCCCTCATGCGATGCGTAAATAGCAAGAAAGAAGAAAAAGAGAGGAGGAGGAAGAAGAAGTAGTAGATTTCATTGTGGATGGATTTGACGGAAGGAGTCGGAGAGAGCTCGTCGCCGCCGAGAAGCTTCGGTAGCTTCAACAGCTACGATGTCAGAAACGACGTTTTCAATCGCTTAGTTGAAACCGGCCACGAAGAAGCCATTTCTAATCCTGACTTTCGTGACCACTTAGATTCTCACTTCAATCGCTTGCCTGCTAGGTAAAATTTATTTCTCATATGAATAATTTATACACTTGTAGCTGTTTTATACGTAGTTTTTACTTGTTTTATGAATAATTTAGGAATTTATTTGTAGGATTGGTTAAGGCTGATGAAGTTGTTTGGTTTTTGGATTCAGTTATGGGCTTGATGTTAATATGGAGAGAGTGGAAGATGTTTTGTTGCATCAGAAACTACTTGCATCAGCGAAGGATCCGGAGAAGCGGCCGGTTTATCATATCCGCTTCTTAGAGGTACTACTACTTTTTTTTTTATTTTAAATAGCAAAAGTTTAGTATATAAGAGGAACGCCTTCTGATTTTCTTCCTTTCTGTTGTATTCAAGATATTGCTGTTAGAAAAAGTGGAAAAAAATAGAGATTTGTGCTTTTTATTTCGACTACTAGTTCATATGTAGCTGCTGTTTGTGGTCAAGTTAATGTGAAGAGGCTTTAAATCAGCCTTTTGGAGATAGTGGTTTATAATTCCAGCAAAGTGGTAGAAACTGAAATATCTTGAAATGGACTAATTATGCGTATCATTTTTCCTAAAAACTAGCTGTTACAAGAAGAGATAAAGTTGTGTTAATTCATTACTGATTGATAATCAATTAAAATAGATGGTGGTTTGTGGTACAGAGTGTTGGGAACATGTGGTTGTTGATGACAGGTGAACTTGAGAACAATTCTTTTAAGCTTTGCTTGATAGGGAGGGTGGAAATGTTTTGATTTAATGGTTAGGTTTCAGAACAACCTTCCTGTTTTTTGGAATTACCATTGGATATAAGCCTTTTCCTTCTTCCCTCCTTTCCATCCTCCCAACCAAGCAAAGCTGAGTGTTTAAGGTAATGTGAATCCAGTTCTTTTCATTTGCAGTTGACCCTTTACTTTTTTCCATGAGATAACCAGAAACTATTATTATTAAAGAGCACTATTTATTAGTAAATTCACGTGTCAAAAAGATAGTTTTCTTTTTGTAGCTTTGTTAGAGCAAGTAATATTAGTTGCATTAAGCACAAGCCTAATATTTATCAAAAAAAAAAAAAGTACAAACCTAATGTCCAAGGTGAAAAGGAAATCATTAGTATTTTTTTCAATAAATTTTTGTGAAAGGGATTTTTTTTTTTTAAATATGTGTTTGAAGTATTTTTTCTTGGCAAATAAGTTCTGTTACTGTTCCCTAAATTTTGAGATAGCATGGCCCCAGCATTAACAAAAAGACTTTTTATATTTTTATATCAACATTTTAAGTTTTGTTCTCTTTTTTTTTTTCAACTTCAATTTGTACACAAACGGTCTATGGTACTACTACTACATTTGTAATATTTAGTAAACTACCTCTTCACTTTATTCCTTTCGTGGATTAGGAGATAGTGTAAAATCAGTGTTGATAATGTCATTTATTGCATATAGTTTCATTGTTGGCGTAAAATTATCATTTTGATAACACTTTATAAAAATTAATGAATAATGACTAGTGGAGAAATATGTTATGAGATATAGAATGGATGTTGTGTCATGAAAAGCATAAGGGGCCTACTGTACTCATGTCATTAAGAAAATGGGAAATTAAGGGCAATTTGTCATTCCAAAGTTGGGTTGTACCTTCAAGACTTATGTCTTTTAGATTTGTGTTTGAAGGATTTTTGTGAAGAACTCAATGGGATTTGATGTCCTACTAAAATTTCAAAATGTTCAGATAAAATTGTGAGTAATCACATAAGTCATTATGTTATTACATATGGAAATTGTAAGTTTTTTGGTATTTATATAAGCTGAAGTGAATGAAGATGAGCAACGGTTCTGTTTTTGTGAATTTTTGCCTGTGATAAGGAAAGTTGATGGTGTTTATTCCTGTTTTATGGCTTAGCTGAATGGTTTATGTCTCTGCTCATACGTCTTATACAATTCTAACAATATGCAAACTCATGCATCTTGATGTGTCTTTGTATTTGGCTGCGTGTACATGTGTGTTTTGCTGATTGGTACCTGTTTGAAATTCTAAAATGCTTTGAAGCAGTAGTACTCTAAAAACAGGTTCTGAATTGTTATGGTTAAACAAGATCAGAAAACTCCATGATATTTATGGTATTTCATTAAACTATTTTGTGCAATTTTTAATGAAATTTATTTTTTCATCTTTTGATATCTTTTTCTGCTCTACTGCAAATGTTATTATAGCATATCTTATCCTTTTTGTAGTCCAATTTTTTTGTTCCATTTTTTTTCACAGTAAGTCTGGAAGGAAGAAGCTGATTATATATCTGGTTTTATAGATTTTGGAAAGTGAAAATTGAAGAATAAACAAGAATAGCATATCCAAATCACTGTTTCTGAATAATTTAAAAAAAAAGCAGTTTATGAACCCTTTAAGAGCCGCATGCTCTTAACCATTTTATACATTTGCTTCAATCATGGTATTACATCTAATTTATTCTTAATATCTTCTAATATGATGCATTATCTTTTTGCCTTCCTTTCCTGATTCTACCTGTTTTCTCCCTTTTACATGTTGGCACGTAGAACCTTTGCACCAAACCTGATGCAAATGATGATCAACAATTTATAAATTCTTTTTCTGCCCAAAGGCCTTCTGATGATGAACATGGTGAAAACGTTGTGCCTTCGCATAAAAGGTATTATATGTGTTACATTCTTAGTTGTGTGTCTTCCCTTTTCATTATTTGATCTGAAAAGACTCTTTTTCTCATTTTTTTGGTTTTCTTAATAATTTTGTTAATTGTTGCTCCATTACCTTCTGTAAATAGAAGCAGGGATCATGCAGTTGACTTTGAACCTTGCTCTAAGCTTGAGGACCTAAATTTGGATGTCAGAAAGAATTCCAAGTGTGTAGAGGATAGATATCTTACGGAGAACTTCTCCAAAAGGTACCTTGTTGAAGATTTGTTTGACATCTTTTTCCTTTCTTTGAAATTTCAGTTATAATTTTTTTTTTTCCAATTTGTTAGCTTAGCTACACGTAGAGAGTTTCCTACGTTTAGGATTGAGAACCTCTGTGTCTGTTTGTGTGTTGCGGATGGGGGTGGGGGGTGCACACTGTGCGTGTGCGTATTTGGGTCTTCCTCGTGGGGAATTACTTCAAAATGAAATGAAATGGCTAAATTGAAACATCACCAGTATTAATAGGCTAATTTTTTGTGCTTCAACCATTCAGTCTGTACCTGCAACTATGAAACTGATTTTGTTTTCTTTTCCTCTCACATTGGTCAATACATGTATCCAAGATCTCTATGGCTTTGGCTTTCCCTTCTCATTCATGTTTATACTGAATGGAGTTCTTTGTTACCGGTATCATAACAATACTCTGCAGCTCATAAGTATCTATTCAGTTATGTTTTTCTGACTATTGAAATGATTTTAAGATTGTCTAATCTATAGTTACTTGACAAGAGGTTCATTTGGAAGCATTTTGTTTTATATGGAGATGCTCATCTTCTTATTCTCTTTCTCTCGTCCATCACCTGCATGGACAATTGAAGCAACTACTGTGCACAACAATTTATCTATATGTATATGCACATATTTAGTTCTATACATATATGACCATGCTGAATGCATGCACACTAGAATGAGGCTGATGAATACAGCTTTGATATATCAGTCATGGATTTGTTGTATGTACATATGGTAAGTGAGTTGGCTTTTGGTAAATGTTTTGCAGGCAAGATATTGTACATATTCCAATTCATGAAGTTATATTTTCTACCACTGACAGGCCAAAGCTGCTTAGTCAGGTATGTTTGACAACATGTATCTTATTGTCATGCAGAGCGTTTCTTTGGTTTTAGGTTAAATTCACACTTATAATCCTTGTGGTTGACCTTTTTCCATTAACACCCTGTATTTTTCTCTCAGCACTGAATGCCCTGTGATTTCTATCTACTGTCGTAGGGTTACATTGTTAACTTTTCAACAGGATGATAAAAAAATTCAAAGCTGAGCTTGAATGTGATCCTTTGGTTTAATCTCTATCGTATTCAACTTCTTTCCATTGAGTTTCAGTTGATGTAAGGCCAGCCATGCTAAAAATATTCAAAGCTTAGCTCGAATTTGATCCTTTGCTTTCTTTGAGATCTGAAAAGCAGCTTAGGATGTGTAGTTATTCACTAGTTTTTTATTTTGTGCGTTCAATTTATTAATGGAATTTTTGCAGTTTGTTATCCTATTTTAATGTTATTATGCTATTGGAAATTTTTGTAGTTTGGATAGGCTTCTGAAACCTAGTTGTCATCATTTGATGGCTTGTCATAATGACATCCTGCTTAAGTTGCTTTCTTGGTAGTGGCTAATAGATGCAGTTTATACTTTTTCGTCATTAACTTTATGATGTTTATCAAAAAATGTTTATGGTGTTTAAACTCTCCTTCAAAAATGGATACTAATCAATCCTTTTTTAAGAACAATGCTAAAACTTGTGAAAGATTTTATAAGCTTGCAATAAGGTTCAATTCCTACGTCGTCTGTTACAGTCTTAATTTAATTGCTATTAACGAGTATCCTTCAGATTCCTGCCAACATATCTTTCATTTCCTTTGAACTTTTGAAAGACAAACATAGCCAGTTGCTTACGTTGAACCCTTGGAGCATGCAAAATGCATTAGAAAGACTTGAGATCTGTAGAGATTATCCATTTTGGTTTGTGAATACTAATAAATATCCCGCACCTTTCTCTACTCTCTTCTAAGAATATTATTGTAATAAATTCTTGATGTAACAAAGAAAGACAGAACTAATTTTGACTTATATTTAAGCAGCTTGTGGGGCTTTCAACATCATCACTTATCTTGTTAACCTTTTTTTTTTGGATAATATTTATCTCGTTAACCTAGTCAAATCTGAAATACTGACCAGCTGTGATTTTCTTCTAGCTTTCTGCATTGCTTTCAGATATAGGACTTAACATTCGTGAAGCACATGTGTTCTCAACAACTGATGGCTACTCTTTGGATGTGTTTGTGGTTGATGGATGGCCTGTTGAGGTAGCCATTTTTCGATTAGATGTTTTGTTGTTATTAGGTCCTTGTATCTTCACATTGTTTGGCGAGCCATAGAATGTGTAGCTAATAATGGATCTTACTTTATGGAACATAATGTATCTTCTGCTACTGTTGTGCGTGCAGTTTCCTTAATGGTAGTTTTATTCTTTTTTTCATGAGTTATTTTAAGCGATAAAAACTCTTGCTTTGATGCTGGAACATTTGCTTTTTCTGTTAATTCATGTTTTACATTTCTTCAGATCTAATTCATGGAAAAAGAACTTTAGATGCCCCCCACTCTGCTGAGAATGGAAATGAATGTTCATGCCTTGTAAAAGCTGCTGTTTATTTTCTTTTTGTTTCTAATACTGCTTTGACATTTGACCATAAAATCAAAAAAAAAAAAAATTGGGTTGGTACTAGATATATATTAAATTTATTAGGTTGGTTAAATTAAGTAACATACAGTTTATCCCAGGAGAGTAGCCTTAATATATTAAGGAGCATTGTGATTATATTTCTTTTATGACAGGGATCTCTGCTGAGTCCAAATGTTGCTGACTTTGCAATGTTGTGGCCAGGATACAGATGGTTTATATAAAGCTATGGAAAAAGCAGTTGCTAGAAACAAGGTAAACTGTCTCTGTGTGAACTCTATTTATGGCCTTTTGCTTAATTTTCTAGCTTAATTGCAAGTGTCTGAAACTTATATCAAATCCCAAGGAAGAATGGTTTTTAATTTTTCAGGATTGTAGTTTTACCAATGTAGTTGGACATTATAAAGCTAGTAAACTACTGTTGACATTAAAATGTTTTAAAGAGCCAGTACTGTCTGGTTTTGTTTTGAAGTTCAAGTGGTTCGAGTACAATTCAAGAGTTTTGTCACATTTCTAGTAGTATGAAGTTCTTCATGTTGCCACTGCCAGATTCGTGCATGTGACAGTTGATCTGTATGTAAATTTATACTTCACGAGTAATTGAGCAGATTGTAACCCTGGTTTTTCACCCCTATAATTTGTATTTGATGCATTTATTTTCTTCAACCATTATCTTCCTGTTGGATTGTGATGGAGCTCTCTCACATATTATGTTGCTTTCACTCTTTTATTTGCTTGAATTTTGCCTTCTGTAAGTAAATTATGAATACCAAAAATATATTTTAGCTTATGATTCCTGGACATATAGGGGTCACTGTCTGGATCTTTGCATTCTCAGTCAGCTGTAGATGATGCATCTGCAGCACAAGAAAAATCTGGAGATTGGGAGATAGATAGAAGACTTTTGAAGATAGGAGAAAGAATTGCATCTGGATCTTGTGGAGATCTGTGAGTTGTACTTCAATGAACCTGATACTTGTGATCTACTCTATTCTTTATTTTCCTTTTTGTTGCTCAAGCTTTGTCTGATGTTTCATCTGAAGGTATCGTGGTATCTACCTTGGCCAAGATGTTGCTGTCAAGATTCTTAGATCTGAGCATTTGAATGATGCTCTGGAAGATGAGTTTGCTCAAGAAGTGGCAATTCTCCGGTGAGAAGCTTTTAACTGTTACTTTGGAGTTCAGTTCTGGGTTTGCATTGTTCTTTGCAACCATCTTTAATCGTTGTGCTGTTGGATCCCTTTATATTCAGTTAAATAACCCGTCTGCCCCTCGCCTTCTACGCCCCCACCCACCCAAAAGAAAATGGTAATGCAAGGAAATAATAGTTGAATATTTGAACACTTGTGTTTCCATGTTGAAAGTTGTCTCATGTAGGTTCACTGTCCTACAGAATTTTGCTTCTTATGTCTGACAACCCGTTTAATCCAAATAAGCTATAGTAGGAGTGAAAACACGTTGTTGAGATTCTGTTGTCAACTAGGATGCACAGACATAAACACGGGACGTGGGTAGGACACGATATGCATGCAGCGACACAACAATTTTTGAAAAATTAGGACATGACGAGCCAGGATATAGCAATAAAATATAACTTTAATATACATATTTGATATATGTGTATACTTTAATTAATTATTTATTAGAAAATGTTTTAAGATGAATTTTTTATTACTTTAATATAAATAAGAATAATATGCATTAAAATTTCTCAAAATATAAAAATCTTAATTATATCACATTTTTTTATCACAAATTTTTAAACTAATTTTATTATCATGTACATAAAATAATTAATTGTGTTGGATATACTTTAAATTCATCTAGACCTATTGTGTTATGGGCTCAAAAGTCTAACCCGATAAGCTTTGAAACCTTCCACACAAAAGCCCATTTGAGACAGCCCAATTTTATTTCAGCCTTAACTATATTAACTTTTTTTTCTCCATCTTCTCCAGAACAGTAGGCTGTTCAGCATCTGCTGCATCTCCTTCCACTCTATCTGTCAGATAATCTAACCAACTTTTCACCTCTAATCTGAGTCTCACCCGCATAGAGCAATACCACTTGACAGTGGCGAATCTATGATTTTGCATGAGGGGTGGCTAAAAGGTAATTATAACGGTAATTATACTATATATATAAAGTTTTATACATATAATAATAAAAAAAAATAAAAATTGAGAGGTGGATGTTGCTACCACTTGCCACCCCCTTGGCTTTACCATAGCTTGAGCCCAAGTAAGGAAGACTGAATTGTTGGATCCTTTTCTCACTCTTTTAATTTTCGTGGCTTCACTGCCATATCCAGTGATGTCCATGCCATATCCATGCTGTGTCTGAAATAATAAATTTATTTTAATTGTTTGGTGTATCTGTATTGGCAAGCATAAACTTGCTTTACTAACTAATAAAAGGATTTATAATGCTCTCTCTTCCCCCTTGGGTGTATGTCAGCAAATAGCATTTCTATGTATGCATTTCTCTCTCTCTCTTTCTCCCTAGAGAATTGACAGTTTTCTCTCTTTAAGTTAAATTTAATTTTAGTTTTATTGAGGATAAACTTGTTTTACTAGCAAATAAAAGGTTTTAAATTATATGTGAATATAAGTATTTTCCTTGCATTTTTTCTTAGATTAATAATCTATTGCCTAATTTCTGATATAGTATATAGTTGATGTTTTCCAGTGCATTTGTATTTATGTAGGACCATTACCATGTGGATATAATCTTATTTCTGGGTTCTTGAGTGCAGAGAGGTCCAGCATAAAAATGTTGTTCGTTTTATTGGTGCATGTACAAAATCTCCAAACTTGTGCATAGTGACAGGTATTAAACTTTTGAGGCATTGAAAAATCCTCTTTGAATTAAATTAGGCTTCTTTTGTGGTTCTCTTCACCACTATCAATCTGTCATCTCGGGTTCCAGCAATTTTGCTGTATGTCAACATCCCCCTTCCCCACCAAAATAAAACAAAAGAAAAATTCTGAAAAGAAATCCAATGGGTGTAAAAAAGGTTGTTGCAGGTATTGGTGTTTTAAACTTATGGACTTAAATAATTCTGTCGAACATATGCAGATTCAATTAATTGCTGCTTGGTTGTTGTAGAATTAATTTGATTAAAATATCAAGTTCGTTTGGAGCTTTATTTTATAAGTTTTCTCCAAGTACTAGCTGTGAAGTTTTCTGTTGGAAGGAAGAGTCATACGCTTGGTGGTGTTAGTTTCATGCTAAGATAACCAAGTCCTCTGGAGATCTTTGTTCAGTGGTCTTCAGTTGAGCAAAGTTTTACGTTATCATAAATTTTTTTATTAGTAAATCTTATTAGCTGACCTTCTGTTCTTTTATTTTCCTTTTGGCGTTGGTAAACATCTTTTAAGTGTCGACTTAAATTGGAACAACTAAAAGAATTATTATAGTTGGCAGCAATTGAGAGCTTCCAATCCCCCATCTCCTCCCTTGGACCCTCTGTCACTCGTACGCTTGTTGTTACAACTGTTAGGGTCTGTTTAATTTCAAATATATATCTAGATTCTCATTTTCTAGCTCATATTGCTGTTTGCAGAATATATGCCTGGGGGAAGCCTATATGATTATTTGCATAAGAATCATAATGTCTTGAAGCTCTCTCAGCTGCTGAAATTTGCTATTGATGTCTGCAAAGGGATGGAGTATTTGCATCAAAACCACATAATCCATCGGGACCTGAAGACAGCAAATTTGCTAATGGATACGGACAATGTAAGAATTTTTTTTGATATCGTCGATATAAGCATGCTCAAGGGATTAGTTTATCTGATTTTCTAATAATTAAATTGTTCTAGGTGTTGGGCAACATGACAGAAGATTAAGTTGTAAACCAGAACCATGACATCTGGAAGAGTTGGGTTTTCCCTTGTAAAAGTTCTTAACAAGGGTAAAACTTCCATGAAGGATAGTAAAATAATTATATGAATTTGCATACGTTGGATTAGTGAATAGAATGCTAGTGAAAATCCTTATGCTTATCTCTATAAAGAGCAGATTAGAGTTATGTCTTGAATTATTTTTAACCCTTAATCAGATATTTATGGACATGAATTCTATTGCATTGTGTTCCTCTATTTAGGAGATTAGTTCAAGTGTCTGTGGTAACATAGCACTAAATGATTTTTCATCACGTTAATACTGTCTATGCAACTGAGGTATGTTTAATATTGGTTCTTAGTATCTGCAATCTCCTCTCTCTCTCTCTCTCTCTGGATGATTCATATGCATTTTCCATGACACTTTCTTTTTAAAAGCTTTTAAAGGATAGACTGACCTGAGAGTGGCTTTATTGAGTAAGAATCACTTATTTCTAATGGTATCTTACGTTGATAGTGACTTCCTTATGTGGTTCTAACTGATTGCACCCTAATCAGCATTTGGATCATCAAAAAAAGAAAAAAAAAGTCAGGGGAGTAGTGACATATGCCATTCAGTTTTTGAACTATTAAAGTATATGCCATGATCTAGATCATATATTATTGTCTGTTGAGAATTGTTTAGTTGGCAAACCAAGCGCATGTGAGGGGGTTGGGGAGTGGCTAGCCTTTCATGTTTAATTGTAGGATATTGTGGCTATTTAGACTCATCATGAGTAGCAAGTTGTAGCGTGGCTTCACTGGTTTCATTTAGTTGGATTTGGCATATACTTGTTTATGTATTATAATTTGAACTTTGATTTTGTAAATCTGTCTCAAGAAAACCTCCTGCTTTTGGAGTTGTAATGTTTCTGCGAATAGGAGTTACATTTGGTGTAGGATGTGGAATTTTGAGTAGTAAAAATTACATTAGTAGACCTAATATGGAATTTGTTATGAATCAAGCAAGGAATGTTGATTTTTCCATTCATCTCTCATTTTGGTGGTTAAGTTTCTATGAATTTTAATGCTGATGGAGAGTTTGGAAGGTTATAAAATTTGTTGGGATTCAGCTCGTAATAAAAATTTACTTTGATACCCTGAGGAAGGGGTCCTGTATATGAAGCTTGCTTCAGTAAGAGCATTAAAGCCAAGGTGAATAAGCAATGAACTAGCTAAACCATGGGGCAAGGACCTCAGTCACAAAAGAGGAGAAGAGAATAACAAGTGTTTTAGCAATGTGTATCTGGATTGACGCCTATATGTGATCTGATCCTTCCAACAAATCCAATGGCCAGTGATACATTTTCTGTTGACTATGTTTATTGCTGAATTAGCACAAGTCCATGTTATGCTTTTAGTGACTTGATCCATCTCTCATGCTATTTTTGTCTCCTAGAATGATTTTTTTTTTTTAAATTTTAATAGGGTAGACAGCTAAAGTAGCTGGTTGTAGTCTGTATTGGCATGTGTTAATTGATTATTTCACAGTTTAAAGAGAGATTTTTTTGACATTGTGTTTTCTGAATTTAAGAATTTTATGTTTTCTCTCAAGGCTGTTAAGGTGGCAGATTTTGGTGTTGCTCGGTTCCAGAACCAAGGAGGAGTAATGACAGCTGAGACTGGGACATATAGATGGATGGCACCTGAGGTGTGTATCTAATGTTTGTTTTCCCTTTTTCCCGCTGAGGAGACTGAGGGCCTGTGGTTGCATCCTTTAATTATTTCAAAACTTAGTAAACATTTGATGATTCTGATAGCAAACTTCACTATTGGTGGAAATTACCTCTTATCTGCTGGTCTTTTATTAATGTTCTAATATTTGGATAATTTGTTCCTTCCATGTGTTTTCTGCTAAAAATGGAAGGAGCTGCAGATTTGATGATTCAAGTTCTATCTTATGCCCCTGGTTATGTGTTATGGTTTTGGCTTACATGCTGTGTACATTAATCTTCATCGAATTTACTTCTTATGTTGGTATTTTATCATCTTCTTACTTTATTTCTCTTTGGCAAGGTCATAAACCATCAGCCATATGATCAGAAAGTGGATGTATTCAGTTTTGCTATTGTACTGTGGGAGCTAGTGACAGCCAAGGTATTTCCTGAAATTGAAGAAAGTTGATGAGCAATTGGATTTTAAAGATTTGGAACTTATACTTCTGAAAAGTATTTTATCGTGGTATGCAGGTTCCGTATGATACCATGACTCCGTTGCAAGCTGCCTTGGGAGTGAGACAGGTTTGCAGTTTTTTTGATGGAGTTAAATATTATTTAAACTATATCATAGTTTAGTATAAGACTGAAGAGTTTCTCAGTATCCGGGACCTATTATTGAATTTTAGATTTGTTTCTCTAGCATATGTTATTACTACATCATTCATTGCATGGAAGCAATTGTATTCTAATGTTTGTAGATATTTTTCTTTCAATTGCAAGCATGATTAAAGCAGCTTCCCTATGGTTTTTAGTGAATATGTGCACTTGGAATGTATATGCTTTTGCAATAAAATTTCTTAGTTCCATGTTGCTGCATGAAATCTGATCTGAAATGTATATGCCTTCTGAAGGGTCAGTATGCTGTGACTTGGAAATGAGCACTACCAATCTATTGAACTGTTTCAATTTTTTGGATACATCAATTAGAAATGGAAAGATGTATGAGAAGGCATTGAATCTGTTGATGTTATGAAAGAAACCTTCAAAGTGTTGATGCTTTAAGCATATCTGCAGTGAAGGATAAAGTCAATTCCCTGTACATTATCTACAGTTTAGGTGTCTGCTATTAGAACGCTAGAGTCATAGGGTTCTTCCAAAAAGAAAGAAACCTACATCACAAAACAATGAAAAGGGCCTTGGAATTTTGATTTCACTACAAGCATGTTCTTGTCCAGGAGTGTACAAGGCCACCATGTAATGGAACTGTTAACCTGGGGCACAATTTCTTCTTCTAATATTGATGTCTTGCGTTTTTTTGGTCTTATTATTTTTTATCAGGGCTTGCGGCCAGATCTTCCTGAGACTGCACATCCAAAACTCTTAGACATGATGCAGAGATGCTGGGAAGCGGCTCCAGACAAGCGACCTTCCTTCTGTGAGATAACAGCTGAGCTTGAGACACTTTTTGAAGAAGTTAAGGTAGAATTTTGACAATCATATAAGCTTTCCTTATGAGGCGTCATTTCTTTGCATCTAACTAAAGTGTGTCACAGGAAACAGCGGAAGCAGTGAATGGCAATTGAAGATTTTGGTATCTACGTAGCCTGATTGACACATTTGAAGATTTCTTTTTGTCAGATAGTTATAGAGGTCTTATATTCTATAATTTGAGGGAAAGTGAATTTCACTAAGGCTATGCTATACTATACGAAAGGCACAAAGAAAATGCTGATTTGTAATTTTGTTTTTGTTTGTCCATTTTTTCTTCTAATGACGGTGTTAAGTCTCGTACTTGAAGATGGTGTAAAAAGAAAATGCTTCCAAGCAATATGATACCAAATTTCCAAGATAAGACACAGGTGTTGGTTTTTTGTACGAGTTGGCTCGAAAGAAGGGGAGGAGAAAAGTGCTCAAACAACATAACGGAGCAGAAGAAACCGTAAAAAAGGCAGCAAATTCTTCCGAGACAAGCCTCCGCCAGCGTTTTAACGCTAGGACCGGGTTATACTGTAAATTAATTTACCCTCAAATGAATCTGTTATGTAAGCATTGCACATTGCTGACTCGCCACGGTGCCCTTGTATTGAACGCTTGCGCTTTCTAACATGAATTGATTCACATCGAATCACCTTCTATCAGAGGTCCACCTGCCTATGGTTTCAACAAATAGTTTATCGTGATTAAGTTTTAACTGCAAAAAGAGTTATGCCGTCAATTTAATTTACTAAAATTATCGATATATTTTTAATAAATAAAAGGATGCTGTATTTATTTACATTGAAAGTATTAAGTTTGTTAGATAACGTTAACAGAATAATCAGTAGACCTTTTTCTTATGATTTTTTCTTTTCATTTTTATTATTAGAGGAGAGAAAAAACTTTCAACCTTAGAACCCTCAATGTAGAAGTGGGTGGGACTATTGTTGGGATAATAATGCCTCAAACCACCTACTTGAGTTAATTTCTGATCTTGAATTGAAACGTCACAACTATCATGTATTGTCACACTTGAGTGGTCATACTCATATATAAAATTATTAGCATGTGACAATGTTGTTAAAATAATTCATGAAATTATTCTCAAAGAATTATTAGAACATTAAGAAGAGTGCTTGAGCTGGATAAGTTGGGGCATGCCTAACTAAGTCTTATAAATAGCTGAAGAATCTCATGGAGTTCTGCAATTTGACGCGGAGCGTGTATTGGAAAGTAAGCACAACTTAATTTAGAGCCAATTTTGATGGTAACTTTAAATTTCATTATTATTACTATGTAATAAAAGAAGTGATAAGTACAAGTTGTTATTAATTAATTTGTTCACAGTATTAGATTGATAGCTTCCAATCCGACCACCTTTCTACGAGGATAGATACATTTATTGTTAAGTGAAACACTTTTCATTATTAATTAATACTATAGTTTATTTAATGAAAAGAATAGCCCAATCAATACTCAGAATCATTTGACTTTGTGAAAATTTTAGACCAAGTGGACCATTTCCATGTCATCTTTGGGCCACGGTTTTCTTATTTTTCTCGTCCATATATGCATAGAAACTGCTTCAACAAAGTATAGAAAATTGCATAATTAAGGTTCCGGTTCAATCCAAGTTCTCTCTTATTGAACAATGAATTACATAAAAATTAGGGGAAAAAAGACTTACACGTCTCCAAATTAGAAGTCAATCAGTGTCCCCTTCAGACTTTTATAAATGCATTTAATTATATTCATAATTTCATATATATATATATATATATATTTCTTTAAGTCTTAAACCAATAAAAGGGGTTAAGTGCAATGCAGTTTTCATACAAGTATTTTTTTTTCCCCATTTTAAAGCTCTTCTCCTTTTTCATGTTTCTCATTCAATAAAATGAAATTAATAAAAGAAAAGCAGAAGAAAACAGCCAAAGACATAAAATCTCTTTCTCTCTTCAACAAATGTTGTAATAAATCTTAAATTATATAAAAAATGAAAACTGATAAACCTGGCCTAGAGGTGATATCCATGCTTGATTAAAAATGTGTGTGATGAGGGCTCTGTTATTTGGTTGGCATATTTATAAACAAAATTATGATTTGAATTATATTATGTCCCACCAACTTGCAAGACTTAGAGAAAATGAGGTTTGTTGTCACTTACTAGAATTTGTTAGTTGGCTTTTGGTCTTTTATGATGTCTGCTGTTGACACCCATCTCCCAAGGTGAAAATGACTGACAGACATGCAAGGGCTACCAACCAGATAATGAAAAGGAACACTCGAAACATGCCAATTCCCTCAAAACACTACCTGCCACAAAAGTGGTATTTACTATTTACATTCTGAGTTTTGACAAGAAACAATTCTCAGTAATAGCTACGGGTTTAGGGCAAATCTATCTTCATGATTATATTAACTAATTAGATTTAGGGTTTAGGTAAACATATATCAAAGTATCTAGCAAAATATTCATATCCCAATGCCAAAACAGGATTGGACCATATATATTTCTTTCTTCTTCCTAGTATAGTTTGGTTGGGCAAACAAATGTAGTCTAGCTGCCCTCGCTTATGTATGTGTAGGTACATTACCTAACAAGTCATCCGCTGATCTTACTACTAATTATTTTAATTTAAATATCAATCATTATAATTAGAAAATGTAGGTACAGATAGAACGTCTGAATTCCAAACCAAGCAAATGCAGTGGCAGATGAAGCCGCTGAATGTTGATTTTGAAGTATAGATTAGGAGGGGAGGGCATGCATCAACTTTGATTAGGAGCTTATGGATACTTTACAAAACCTGATTAATAAGTTTGTTAGGCCTAGTAAAATATTCTAAAAATTAGCTGGAGGCTGTGGACGCGTTTGCGTCTAGATTCACTGCTAATCTAGACGTAAACAGGTCCTCGACCTAAGGTTTCTGTTTATTCCCCGGGCCACAAGACCCCACCATTTGGGAAAGAGGAGAAATGTGGAATTTTGCACATATTTTCCGCATAAAGAGATGCAGATTTAATGATTTGATTTACGAGTGAGATATGATTTAATGTTGGTGGAGAGCTAGCGATAAGCACAGTTAGAAGGCAAGCAGTGCACGTAATGAGAAACAAAGTGATAAACTACATTAGGGAAAATTCATAAAGTAGAAGCTTTGAAGTCTTTCTACTTAATTTGATGATATATACATACATATATATATATATATATATATAGAGAGAGAGAGAGAGGGTGAAAAGTTTTAAATGAACAACAATGCTGGAGGTAGTAAAGAAATATGTGTATGATCAATAATCAAATTGCATATCAATTATTAGCTTAACTTATTTTTTTTGTACCCTAAAAACCAAAAAAGGAATAAATATATATGTGACTAATGAAAAAAAAATGAAAACCATTTGATTGGATTCTAGAAAAGACTACTTAAAATCATGTGGGTTTGGAGGGTCGTTGAATTTAAATTGTCTTTATTTATTTATTTTTTTCTGAAAATCATTAAATTGTCTATATTTATATATGGCACATACCAAGAAAGAAATCAAAAAGAAAACGGCAAATGAAATATAAACAGTATGGTGGCCTACTGTCTGGCCGCTTATGGTACATGCAATAGATACTGAGAATTGCAGTATTTCAGGTTGGGACCAATGGATGGTCAAGTGGGCAATTTTCATACACCCATAAATCTCCGTTTATTTTTTAAAATGAAATGAAACAAAATAAGATCCAGCATCTTGCATTTATATAATCTTTATTTTGAGGAAATCGTTTTAATCATAAAATTGTATCTTTGTTTAAGATTAATTAAATCTTATTTCACACGGTTCCTGATCTCGCATGTCACAAACTAAATTTAATAAATTTAAAGAGAAAATGGGTCTTAATTGTTTTCATATGATTTTACAATTGATAGAGAGAGAAATAAAATTCTATTGGAGTGTGATATCACAGCTTCAATATAATTAATGGTCTACATGGAACAATATTTATCAATATAATTTAGTGAACTCTCTATCTCTCTCTCTTTCTGTCTCTCTTTCTGTTTACATATTTGTAAATAATTTCGATTTTCATGCACATGGGTTGTTCTTATAATTTGATTTTTTTTTTAATAATGTTCTTATAATTTGATGAGCTAGCTAGTTGGCTTTGTTTTACATGAAGTCGGCTATATATATTCAATGTCTCCCACTAGCTAGCTGCATATCTGCTTTGCAGTATAGTGAAAATGACTAGAAACAACGTGCAATGGCAAAAGCAATTAATCCAAAGATTCCAAACCAACCAATTAAAGTTTACTTAATATCCGAAACGAGGCTGAACAGAATTCAAGTGGGTTTTAGAGCAATATATATTTGAAAAAGACAAAGAAGAAAATTCTTCCTCATTTATTTTATTTTATGACCTGGATTATCATGCAATGGCTTTTCCATTTTCACAAAGGATTAATTAATTCGAGTAATAACTGTTTTTTTTTTCTTTTGCGCAAGGCAACAGCGCTAGCCAGCTAGCTCAAGAAATTACACTCAAATAATTAATAGGTTGGAAATTAATTATACATCCAGTAATGCATAATGTTAATTAGCCTTTCAATCAGTGTAACAATACAAAATGGTCGATTTAATTTCATGGTGTTTGCGTTAGCCTCCCTGCTTCTCACCAAAAAGAGGGTATAAATAAAATTACAAGATCAAAAGAGGAACAACAAAACAGATTGATTAATCCCTCCTCACCTTTGTCTTCATTTTAATTTCTGCTTTATAATCAAAATTTAATTATAGTTTAGTTATGTCTAACAAAAATTTAAAAATTACCTTGAGATTTGACCTAAGAAGTAGTGTTCCTGTCAATACTCAATTCTCTTGTACGAATGAGTCTAGATCGAAAAATGTCATTAATTAACGACTCAAAGTTAATTATAGTAAGAACAAAAAAGAGAAAAAAAAATTCTATTTCTTCAATCTTGTCCATGTTGAATGTCTGGTTGCATACAAACATACCTTACTTAAATCATCAGCCGTAATGTAATAATTTAATTAAGCATGATTATGATATACATAGAAATCCTTAGACCAAATCCGAAAGCCACCTAATCCGCATTAAGCTTTATATAAAATCATATGTAATTGTAGATCATGATGATTGGAGGCAGCTAGAAGGTTTGTCAACTTTCTCCAACGTCAATTTGGACCCAACCATGCATCTCCTTTTAGGCATTCACACCATCTTTGATAAAGACGAAAAAGTAAAGGGAAAAGGCCAAGAAAGCAAAGAATATTTAATCTTTTCGTATATTCTTTGGTAGAAAAGAAAAATAAAGGAAGGAAACTAAAAAAGGAAAAGGACAAAATAATAGCAATAAGTGAGTA